AAAAATTGAGAGCAAAAATGATTTTAATAGCTTCCGCAGACAAAAAAAAAAAAATATCTGTTTTTTACCACTACTGTCCACAAGAGAAAACTAAGGCTATTAGTTTCAATCACTGATCCAATGTATTCTTTGATGTGCTTTTTTAGATGAAACAAAAAAAAAAACAGGAAAGCCTATAAATCCTATTGATTGTTATTTTTTTTTTTTGATTTTTAAACCTTTCTTTTCTGCTTAACACAAAAAGAAAGTTTGAAAATGATTAACAAAGTTGAAAGAAAATTTGCAGTTTTAAAATTTTAGCATTTTTCCTGTTTTTTTTTTTTTTGTCAAATATTTGTAGCACACACCGATATCTAAACCTAATTTTTTTCTTTCCTTTTTCAATTTCTACTCTTTCGCTTTTTTTGTTCTCTCTTTTTGTGATATTCACCAAATCCCATATCAAATTCAGTATGTAACTACAAAAAAAAACAAATTCCCAAGACTTAATTTTTTACTTTTTTTACAATAAAAAAAAAAATTAAAAATTTTAAATTTCTTACTAAAACTTTGTCACAAAACCAATTGGTTTTCGCTTTCCCCTTTGCTTCTCCTCTGCTCTTCACTTTTCTTCCTCCTTCATTCCTCTACTGTTCCCTTCTTTGCATCTTTCTCCTTGCTTTTCCTCATCACTTAGTTGCTTTCTTTCCACTCTCATCTGACCCTCAAAAAAAACCCCAAAAACACAGTCTTTTTTGATTTAATTGTAACCATCGCTCTCGTCAAAATCACCATCAAAGCAATAACATTACTTCTTTAAACGATTCTTCTTCTGCTTCTTTTCTAAAATTTTCTCTCAAAATTTCTCCCAAAAAAATAATATTATCTAAAATAATATTAATTTAGCAAAAATATATTTGTAAAAAATTAATTTTTTTTTTAAACTTATTAATTAGGTTTTTGAATATTTCTACTGAAAAAGAGTAGTTTTTACAAATAAAAACTGTTTTTTAACCATTAAATAAAATTTCTTTATGTTAAGCTATTGTTAACTCCGTACTGCATAAATGCTTCAAATACATTCTGTCAATTTTATTTTCTTTTTCAGTTGTTCACTAGGTGTAAAGCTTCTAAAAACCAAAACAGTAAAAAGGAAATGCAAAAACAGTATAAACTTCTTTTTTCAGTATAAACTAAATTCTTATTCACTCTAAATTAATGTGTATCAGCTGTATTAATAAACTGTAAAATGTTCGATAATCAAAATTTGAACAAACAAAAAAAAAAAAATGTCTGCAGAAGCAATAAATCATATTCAGAGACTTTGTTATGTGGCTAAAACTAAGTTAGCATCAAGCCACACTGATAAATTTGACAGCACTTTTCAAAACTAAAAATTGATTGAACAGAACAGTTTACTTTGACAGAACTGCAAATTGCAAAAACTCTCACTGCTGAATAAAGTTTTTTTTCTGCTAAACAAACCATGATATTTGTCCAGTTTTTCTCCCATAGATATTAAGCTACTTTAACAAATTTTTTTTTTTACCGTGCTTTATGACTTCTGAAAGATTTATCGGCGACACAGTTTGCCATATTTTTTTCTCACTACGTTTTTTTTTTTTTTCTCTTTTTCAATAGCTTTAACATTTAGTTTTTCAAAATATACAAAAGCAAAGATAAGCTGATAAAATGAACTTCTTTTCTATCCACTAATATTATTTCCTTAAAAAAGCTGCAAAGAATAAACTGCAAAAGAGGATTGAACAATTGTGATGTTTCTAATAATTTATAAAACAAAAATGTTAATACAATTGGTCAATAAAGCTTTTAAAATGCTTTAATTTTTATCATCTGTTTTTCTTTTTTTAAACTGTTTATATTCTAAATGACAGAAAAACAATCTCTCTTTCTACTGTTGGTCTTGTTTAGAAGAAAATAAAGCATTAAACAATGACTTGATGTCTCCAATTTACTTTCTTTTTCTTATCCGTTTTTCAAAAAACAAGATAAATTTAAGTCTTCTAAGTAAATAATAAGTGAATAAATAGGTAGAAGTAAAAATCAGAACAGAAAATAAAGAAAGCAAACTTTCAAAAACACAACATTATTTTTTATTAAGTTATTTTTTTCCGTTCTACATCAACAATTTTTACCAGTAGTATTCATATAAGTTTTGATATAAAGCTGCTTTTTGTAATCAGTAGAACCTGCGTTGGTTTATTGCAGCACTAAATTCTCGTCGCCTCACCCGTATGCTTCTCGGCTACCCGCCATTCCTTCCTCTCCTCCTTTTTTTTTTGCACTAATTTACTTTGTTACACTAAAAATTTATTCAAAAATGTTTTAGCCGATGTTTATACTTCTCTCTTCTTAAGAAAAAAGAGAAGCAAAAAAAATTTTTTACTAGTGTTTATCAGGCAAAGCTTCG